TGGTGATGTGAGAGCCTGGTCCGGTGAGAACCCGGCGTGCTCCGTCCCGGCTTTGTAGGGATGCGAGGTCAATGGTCTAACGACTACGGCATGCACGACTATGAGTGCACCCCCCCCCTCCAGGAGTTCGAGATGGATGAAGAGTACCGTTTGCTCCTCGACGAGGGTTTCGTGGACGGCGCCGATGAGGAGGAGGCCGTTCTGGGGACGTCGGATTCGGAGACTTCGGACGGCACCGACGAGGTCCCTGAATCGGCTGTCGCGGTAGATGTAGCCGGCACGGAGGCGTCTGACGGTGGATCGACGCCGAGCGCCGAATCGTCTGATTCCGGTGGGGGCGACAGTGACCTGGGGGCGCGTGGAGCGTTTGGCGAGGATGCTGAGGTGCGCGTTGTTCGTTAGTTCTCCTTGTGTAAAATTCATAAAAAATAGTCGTCGAGTGGTCCGAACCACCGCATCGTTGTTGACAGACAGCAGCCGTAGCACTGAACATATCCATAGTCTCATTTCGTTGATTGAAAAATAGGGAGAAGAGGTCAAAGCGGCTACCGGTGTGTCCAGCAAGAGGAGCCACCCATGGGACGACGACGAGTATTGGGATCACGACGCCAACTACTTCTAACAACATATTCGCCTGATTGAGAGCGAAGTATCTGATTGAGAGCGAGAGCCAAAAAAATTGAAATTTCGGGCCCAGACGCCTCTTGCCATTTCTCGGCAAGTAGGGGACGGCCTATACCAAGAAGCGGTGCAAATTGAAGGTCTCATCAGCAGCTTCGCGAGCATATGCGTGTCATCGTCATCGGATGCTGCAGCGAGGAGCTAGACAAGTTGCTAGATTTGCCCAGATTGGCTATTTCTGCTCAAACTGTTTCAGGGCGGTATCGCGTCGGGCGGTGGGCTCTGCTGTAGCTTCTGCTCCCCGCTGTAGCTCCACAACGAGAGACTCCCACAGGATGACCAGGGTAGCGGCTTGAAGCTACGGGCTAGCCCTTCAATTCAAGCTACACAGCAAGCTCCACCTCTCAGTGGTAGTCCGGCTAAAGCGTATCGCGCAATCTCGCTCTCAATCAGATGCTACGCTCTCAATCAGGCGAATATGTTGTTTTCTCGGGTTGCACCATCGTTGGCGAAGACGGGTGGACTCTCGTCGGCAAGGAAGGTCGGCGAATGGGGTTGGAGACAAGCTTGGCCTTCGACGAAGTGAGTCCCTGATACCCCAACCTGAAATACCAACCTGAAAACCCAACCTGAAACCCAACCTGAAAACCCAACCTGAAAACCCAACCTGAAAACCTAACCTGAAAACCCAACGCTTTTCGTGAACACGGGCCTCGGGTTTGTACGACCTCACCAGTCCGAACAATTGCCAGCCTTTGTTCCTAGACCACGATGACGAAACCGATGAGAACGAAGCAGCGGAGGTGGACGAGGCTGTGGACAAGGTGGGCGAAGATGAAGCCGCAGAGGAGGTGGACGAGGACGAGGAGGCTGAGGCTGAGGCTGGAGAGGAGCTGCAGCAGACTATCGTTGTACACGAAGGAACCACGATTTCCCCCTGGATGCTGGCTTTCTTTCTGCCGCTTCTGCTCGCCGTTGGGGCCGCTCTTTTCCTGGTGTTTCAGGCAGCCATGACCTTTACCACCGTACTCCTTCGCATCGGCGAGGCATTCGCGTCGGTCAGCAACAACGGCAGCAACTCTGCCAACAACAACAGCAGCAGCACTCGTCGGCAGCGTGCAGCTCGTTGTGGCAAGACTGGCCGCACGAGGATCGGCAGGATTCTGAAATGCAGATTTGCAGGAGGGAGACGCTTCCGTCCTGCAAGGGCTCGTCGCAACGGAAGAGGTTTCTGGGCACGTGGTCACAGGAGGAGTGAAGGCGACATTCTTGTGATGGACGATGATTTTGCACGCATCTTCGGATTGGTGCCGGCGTTTCTTCGGGGAGGAGCGAAGTCGGGTGACCAACAACAGCTGTGTGCGTGTACCAGTTAATTTGTGTTCTTCAGAACGTATTTTCATCACGCGACAGAACGGCAAGTCAAACAAGACATTACTTTCTCCGAATGCTTTCTTGGTCGTTCCATCCCCGTCGTCCCATCCTTTCTAGCAGACACAGGGGAGGCTGAAAAGGGACAGGCGTCCAGCAGGGGGGGTATTTGCCCCCGGTTGGGCACCCGATCCTGCCCCAACCGCGCACAACGACAGCGCGAGAGAGTCCGAGGAGGATGGTGAAGATGGTGAAGACTTCGGGGATGCAGCAGATGATGCTGCGTCTCTGGATGGAGTCAGCGATGGCGAAGAGTCTGAATAAGATGAAGAGGACTCCGATGAAGACTCCGTTAGAGGGCCTCGTGGTGCTGGTGGGGGAGCGGGTGGTGTGGCGTCAGCGAGTGATGAAAACTCCGATTTAGAGGACTCCGGGTTGCTCCCAGCGAGGCCGGCGATACCGATGGAGACATCGACGACGATACCACCAGCGACAAGTGTTCCTCCACCGGCGGGGAAACTCGCCGCGAGGGGTGCGAAGAAGACTTCTATTGTGAACTGGTGGAGTGCCCCACGTGCAATGCGCAATATTGTCAGGACTGCGAGAACGACTTGTCTTCTGACAAAGAGGTGAGCTGAACTCGTGTTAGTATTGAGCGAGTGAGGGTCGAAACCAAACTACATGCGCACAAAAACTTCAAAGAAAACCCCGACCAAGCTTTTTTTTCTGTTTTGTTGTTCTTTGTTTTTTCACCAAACCACAGCGAACGTGTTCTAGGTGTCAGCGAGCGGACGATGATGGTGTTGGTGATTTTTCGAGTGGGGGGGTCACTGATGGACCGGATAAGTACACCGACACAGAAAGTGGTAGCGCCTCTGGAACTCCAAGCGACGTCGTCGATCTGCGGGGAAGAAACATAATCGCATTCCAACAACTTCTAGCCCGAGAGAGTCGTTGATGGTGCCAAAAGACGACCAGCAGGCGGAACGTATTTTAATTCTATACCGCAAAGCCCGCGAGATGGAACGGAAACTTGCAGGAGAAAACAAGAGAATTAATGAGGTAAGGAACCTCACCCTCCTCGACCTCACGGAAGCAGCAAGCTGCTTGGACAAGGGTAATCCCGTAAGCGAAGAGATCTGGCGAAAGTGCGAAAAGGAGAACTACGGCCTGTACGGTATCACCGTGCATCGAGCCGGGCCAACCGGTGAGACGATTCCGGGGACCAAGGTTACATCAGACTGTAGAGGAAAACTGTTACAACGTAGTCAGGCACAGTTTACCAAAGGTGCGACTGCGGCAACTAGCAGCCTTCCGTAGACATAATACAGAAAGAAGAGATGGTACTCAGCAGAGAACATGAGCACAGAGTTGTAGCGGAGATATGTTGGCAGGCGAGACTGTAGTTGTTTTATTGTTCCGAACCCCGAAATTCCGGTACTCGGGCCATTACTCCGGAGACCCTCGGAACCTGCTGTGTTTTTGCCTGCTTGTTTTTTGTTTTTGTTTTGTTGTTGAGATGAGACACAAGCGCGCCTTCGCCCCTTGTGCTCACTCTCATCTAGCACCCATCAAAGCCTGACCAGGGAGTCAGTTGATAAGAACATCTATCTGCATTTCTCTTTCCAAAGCTCGCTCGGGCCTACCGATTTCACAGCAGTGTAGACCAACCTCTGTGATAGAGCGGTGACAGCAGTGTAACCTCTGTGGTAGACTACAAAGTCTACGAGCTACAGC